AATCACTATCTTGTTGTGGGGCAGTAGCAATTTCGAGATCATGTAATCACAAGATCCGTTTCATGGCCCACTTTTTGGAGATTATTGGAATCAGTGCACAAGCTCATTACTCACTTATATTGCTAATCTGAACAGTGCACAAACTTGTTGTTATTCCGAATCTGACTGGGCAACCAGGCAGGCACAGTGGGTTGGTCAAAGACCATGATTGAGATACGAGAGGTACCTGGTTCAAGTCCTGCCTGGGAGCGGTTTTTCCAGCCATGCTGCTACCCACAGCCAACTGGGAACTTGTGGCCAGGCACAAGGGGTACATAGATGCAGCTAATGGGGTCGTTTTCGGCACTTGTGCCAGTGGTTGTGAGACTTATCCACTCACCCCCACCGTCAGGCGCTGCATCTGCCGCTAGGGTTTATCGGGTGTTAGCGGCCGTCGTGAGTTCCCTTCGGGAACGGACATGATAATTTACTTTACTTACTGGGCTTTTTCTACTGCACAATGCTGATATGTTCATAGTTCGTCATCGGTTGAGTCACACTGTCCCAGACATAGCCGAGCAAGGACCTGCCCAGGCTCATTCTCTGAATACTTTATGTGGTAAGTCCTATCTAGTGCTGCTGCTACTGCTGCTACTGCTGCCACTGCTGCTGCTGCTGCCTCTGCTGGCACTGCAATGTCTGATCTTTCCTGATCATGTATGGGATTTTTCCATCCATGGTAATTCTCAGTTCTGTCCTCACTACCCGCAGAAAAATAGGAACATGTCCTACTATAGAGTTTAAAATCCGGGTCAGGTGACTTAAGTCAGGGTCCCGGGTCAGGTGACTTAAGTCAGGGTCCCGGGTCGGGTGACTCAAGTTGGGTTTAACCCGTTAGGTTAAGTAGTTGTTTCTCCTGTATTCGTTTGAGAACTGTAACTCTGAACTGCCGGCATGTACAGTTTGCTAATGCCTGCAACGTGTGCATTTGTTCCTCTTTCTGTTTTTAAAGTGTTCACCCAACCAAACACTGCTAGCTAGGTTATGACTCCCTGCTACTAACACATCAACATATCACAGAAACACTCCGAGACTTCCTCGTTGGAGGGTGAAACGTCTAAATCCTGGCGAAAGGCAAACGACTGGTAAAGATGCGTACACACGGTGCACTCGTGCATGCTCTGCAGGTCTTGTTTGGAAGTTCCCGGTAGTTCCCAGTTCTAAGTCGAATTCCAGGTGTAAGTCAACCCCACTTTTTCTCGTCCGACTTATAGCCTTAAAGGTCGACTAATAACCGGCAAAATACAGTACATACGAAATACAGCAAAAAAAAATTAATAGTAAATACATGTATCACAAATCACTGACCCTACCGAGGAATTTATGTGCAGGTAAAACTATACCTTGCTTTCCTTTTCGCACAGAAAAAAAACTCTGGAATGTAGAAGAGGACAGGAACTGGACCATTCTATAGGGAGACAGGACTGGAAAGGAAGGGATTCTAACGCTTCAGCCGTACCGGTCAATTTCATCTTTCCGGGTGAAGACTGGTTTTTGTCTCTAAAAAGTAAAATTTGTTTGTAATCAGTTTTGTCTCATGGAATGATTCAGTCTCTCTATCTCTTCTTGTACCCCAGCTTCAAACCACACCGGCCATTGCAGCACGTCTCGTCAGCAGGCTCGGCGGGGGTTTCCCCTTCCGAACGAGCAGCTCTAGCGCATGCGACGCATCACTCACGTCCTGATCACTCGGTGACATCATCACTGCGCATCCAGCACTTAGATACGCCACCGCACTTAGCAGCTTCAAGGTCAGTCAACACACAATGCAGGTCATTCATCCTGTTTAAATTCTGAATCAATGGTTGATGTTGCCAGGCCGCCGTAACCGGTCCGGTTAGTCAGGTGACCACCGGACACACTTGTTGGCAATCAACGCATGTTTACTGGCCAGGAGGTTATGTTCACCAGCTATATCATACACCAAGAATGAAAGGCTAGGGTATGGCCGGACCAATCAAGAACTGTTTCCGGCGTTCCTTATTGCCCATGTGCAGCCTACTGCACGCAGCATATGGCGTGGCGCACTTCTTCAACCTGGAAGCCGTTCACATTCGGCACCAACAGTGCATGTAAACCTCCCAACCTATTCAACCCTCCACAGTGCATTCATGTAGCTGCACAGCGCTGTCAGCTGGTTAAGCTATGCGCTATGCATACCATACATAAGGGAATGCTCAGTGTTTCTGCCGCCTCCTCAAACCTCCTCAAACCTGTTTTTTATACTTGTGGCATTGCTGTGTGCATGTATATCGCACTGAGCAATACTCTGAGATTGATCATGGATTTCATCCTATGCAGCTCCTCACGCTATTCCTCAGCGGCTCGGCACAAGGCTGGCCGCCATTCGTCGATGAAGCAGCGGAGCACCGTGCGGTTTGCCGACGGCGATCCGCGTGTGGATTCAGTCATCTCCATTCAGCCCATAGCGCGACCATGCACCCCTGCAGCTGGTATGTATACTCGGCGTGTTGGTGGTGCTAATGGTGATAACATGAATGACGATGATGATCATGATGATAAAGATGACGATGATGATGATGGCAATGAGCAAGATAACAATGATCCTGATGCTACTCTTACTGCAATACAATGAACCTCAGTGAAGAGACTAAGATGAACTCTGAAAGTCTCAATGCTTTGGAGATACAGTAACACACTACCCTCACCATGAAGAAGAAACCCCGTGACCATGGATCTTGTGTCACTGACAGAGGTATAGCAGCCGGTCCGGTCAGTCCAGCTTTGGCCGGACCACTTTTTCGCCCGACCACGGCCCAAAGTGCCCAGAATGCAGGATTTTGCACCCTAATTTCAATTTTTTCCCGGGGGACACCCCCCCCCAATTCGCTCCTGCTGGACCACCTCCAACGGCGGTGCTATGCACCTGCTGATCATTGCATTCTAGTGATATTGACGTTGAAACCATTGCGTCCCGACTTGACACAACCTTGAGTTCTGCGAAAAGCAATGATGATCTAGGTGAGGGTGATAACAAAGAACAGTGAGGGTGAAGTGCATAGGACAGGAGACCCGCCAATAACCGAAACGTGATGCAAGCTTTGCGGAATCAAACATATAATTATTACTTCATATCAGTACAGTGTCCATCATCTGCTGAGCTCAGAAGTCTTTTGTTGAAGTAAATTATCAAACAGTAATCTTATCTCAATGCCCAACTAGAAATTCTATTTATGCAGAATGAACTTTTAAATTGCTTTAGTACTTGAGGAGATAGTATGCGTTTGTAGAATTATAATAATATTTATCGCAGCGCAGTGAGCAGTGGATATGGATAACGTTATTATGGGTCTTGCAAGTTGGTCTGCCATGGAACCTAGTGCACCGTTGCTATAGAGCTTGTACAGCTCAGTGCATCATCATTTGAAATGCAGTTTGCATGGAGTGGGAAAATCAGCGGCATGCTAGTGAGGTGTTGCCTCTCACAGCTGGCACGAATTGTTTGTTTTGCAACGTTACGCAGATTTGCCATTCAAGTGAAAATACAGCATGTACAAACTGACACCGTGATTTTCCACTCAATACAAAATAGCACTCAATACAAAATAGCACTCAATACAAAATAGCACTCAATACAAAATAGCACTCAATACAAAATAGCACTGGTTTCCTCTCCATGCAAACTGCTCAGCATATCCGAAAACACCACTCACATAACCTCTTTCTATGGTAGTGCAACACTGAAAAAAACCCAAGGTCCTACAGGTCTCACAATGTGTACCTGCACTGTCTCTCTCTCTCTCTCTCTCTCTCTCTCTCTCTCTCTCTCTCTCTCTCTCTCTCTCTCTCTCTCTCTCTCTCTCTCTCTCTCTCTCTCTCTCTCCCTCCCTCCCTCCCTCCCTCCCTCCCTCCCCCCCCCCCCTCCGCACACGTGTACGTAACCGATGACTCAACAGATATGCATGTACATTACAGCTGTAGTAGTAGCAAGGCAATGTATGCGGATAGAATCATTCTGCATACGCACTGGACGGCTTACCAGTGCCAGTGGAGCATGTTGGAGGAAGGTTTTCACCACCGATGCCAGCAGTTGGGATAGAAAACAACTCATAATGGGTGTGTAGAATTATGGTTAGATTGCATTGTTCGAGTTGTCCCTTCCTTAGCTTAGTGGGCAGTTCCTCATGCCCACAGAGTTCGTAGCACTAGTGGTACCAGAATTGAAGTTGTATGGGTACGTGTGTATAAGTTGTACTATGATGATAGATACAGTCATATTTGCTAGAGCAGAGCAACTATTTATGCGCGGGTTCAGCCCACGGACCTTGTACGAGACAGCTGCAAACATTCATCTCTTGTATGTGACGACTCTTGTGTATATGTGACTGTGACCCGTGTTTACTAGTGACTATGACTATGAGTATGACTCGTGTTTACATGTCAGTGAACTGGATGCAGGTGACGGCAGAGCTGCAACAGCACCACCACCACCTCTGTTTACGTACTGTAGCATCCATCCATTGCTGTGGATGGGAAGTTTGGGAACTACAGGTCACGGGTACGACACTGTGGTCAGTGCAAGTACCACTGCTGCGGTATGCACACACACACACACACCTCAGACACCTCAGACCTGCCCATTGCGGAAGCGATGGTAGCGAACAGCTATGTTAGACATAGCAACTTGTGCTGAGATTACACCATTCAACAGCTTGCAAGGCTGATGAATTGACCGCCACTATTTTTAGCCTGGTATCCACCACACAGCTGATTGAAGTGACACACACACACACACACACACACACACACACACACACACACACACACACACACACACACACACACACACACACACACACACACACACACACACACACACACACACACATACACACACACACACACACACACAACAGTCTTAAAATCAGGCCATTCGAGCTGTTCGTGTGCGGCGGCCTATTGTGTTTGGTGTATTCCGGTTCACTTTGTATGATGGAAGTGCTGGCCTGGAACCAGGGACATGTAGCTTTGCACTGATGAAGAGCATTGGCATGGGTCCCATGCCTGCTGCCATAGGCAAGGTTCAACGAGTGTTCATATTATAAGTGGTGGAAAGATGTTGCTTTGGAACTATAGCCGTAGGGTAACAGGTTGTGTGAAATCTCAGTGGGGCAGTGTGTCCAGCGTGTATTCCTGTATCAGAATGGGTCTGTTCACTTCTGAACCTGTCACAGTTGACAGGCTGCACGTGTGCTGCATGGTGGTCTGTCTTGGGCGCTCAGTCAGTCAGTGCATGCCCTGGCACGCTGAGTGCTGCAAATGACAGTGGGCACTGACAGCAAGCTGGCTACAGCATGGTGCTAAATGTAGCAGCTGCATACTGAGCTGCATAGTAGTAGTGCATACTGAGCTGCACACTGAGCTGCTGCTGGTGCTGTTGCTACCACTCACTGTTGCTGATGTTGCTGCTTCTGTGGTTGTCAGCTACTGTTTGTCTGCCTTTGACCACCATGGAAAGAATATCACTGCAAGCTGGTTATTGTTTTTGACAGTTTTCGGGTATGTGCTCACGCCAGTGAAGTGCTGGACAGAAGAGCATCTGCTGGAGGGTGCAATCAGGATCATTCCTCACACGTGTCGGACAGCTTGGAAAGTAGCACGATCAGCTGGGTTGCCAGGCATGGTCCAGCATCACGGCGCCTCCTACTGGAGTGTGCGTAGAAAGCCTTGATAATCCCGGCAATGTAAGTAACATGGATATGCCCGACATTGGCAACCACCGTTCGTAGTGCACTGTAATGCATGCTCTGCCATCATGAGAATGGCTCGGATCATAAATCATTTGGCGATTTTACAAACTTTGTTCACGGCCAAGAGGTCCATTAGAATGGACATTAGAATGGACATTAGAATGGACATTAGAATGGACATTAGCATGGACATTAGCATGGACATTAGCATGGACATTAGAATGGACATTAGAATGGACATTAGAATGGACATTAGAATGGACATTAGAATGGACATTAGAATGGACCCCTTTGCCGCAAATAATAGAAACTGTTCTACTGCTGCCACGTGCCGTGTGCTCTACCTGTTCGAACACAGTCTTGACGAGGGGACTGTGTGTGCGGGCATGCAGCACAGCCCTTAGAACTGATCCAGCCGGCTGAGGATGGCCCGGCCAATACAGAGAATAGGCATACTATTGATGATTGCCCACACTCCTTTATACTTGCCTCATTCCAAGAAAGAGATGTGGTTGGTTAGCTGAAAAGTGGCCTGGCCATACACAACAAACCGAACTGGCTTCTATCCTATAGTATGTTGTCAAGTAGCTGTACCTGCACAGTCGTGATATAAGTAGTTGGTAACATCATGATCCGTGTGCATGACTCATCATGATGTCATCCAATATGGACACCTGAGGGCCTGGGGCAGGGGCCGTGCCCAGGGCCAAATGAGGTGGGGTTTGATGCAATGATGCAATGATGTAATTTGAAGATGGGTCAGCACTCAGCCATGCACCTCTGAGCAGGAAACAAACTGTGAAGTGTCTGGTGCGACGCATGCGCCTTCTCAGTGATGATTTCTCTGGTCAGGACTGTACATAGTCCTTAGCATCACGGCGCACAGATCCCCCACCCACATAATTATTGTTAGCCAAGTTCACATCTAATTATTGTGAGAGCATACCCTAACATACTCTAAAGCAATGCATTCATTCTGTAAAATGAAACCTCGAAAGCAACATTCCCATGTTTGCCACTTGCTTGAAAGTCACAAGTGAGGGAAACATGTTGCCGCTGTGGTGGTGGCACAGATCAAGTTTATTTCCATCCTGTCGATAGTACTATGGATTCTTGATGCCGACAAATAGGAACCGATTTCATGGATCAAGTTGAGTCCCTGAAACCGTCTGGGAGATTCACACCTAAAGAGTACTATGCCACTGCCCGTGACCGGCATGGCTCATCAGTCGCTACTGCCCTTACCTTCACGCAAACACATTCAAGTAGAACAAGAGGGCAGAAACCGGCCGCTGATTCAACCTTTCATTCACACAGATTCTTGGTGGTATACTGTAGCATGTGTCGTGACCAAGAAAGCTGCAGTGACAACATACAGCACTGAAGTAGCGGTGAGGCATCCTGCAGCTTCATAACTCGAAGAGAATTGGTGAGCACACATGCTCATTCCCTGGGCACTGCAAATTCACAACTCATTTCATTTTACAGAATCATTTTCAACGTTTCGGTAAATTGCCATCATCAGGATGCCGGATGATGGCAATTTACCGAAACGTTGAAAATGATTCTGTAAAATGAAATGGGTTGTGAATTTGCAGTGCCCAGGGAATGAGCATGTGTGCTCACCAATTCTCTTCGAACATACAACAATACCGCATGATAATACATGGAAGAGCAGAGCAGATAAAATCAACAAATGATCAATATCTAGTCACATAACCAAGGTTACAGCTAGCGCGGCAGGCGATGCTCAATTTGTATTTATTTATGTAAGGGATAGCTCAAAGGCCAGAGCATATCGAGGAGGTTTCCGCAGCCAAAATAAAATGTTAATTCGATAGCAGGTATGTGGAGAAGAACTACAGTAAAAGTCAAGTGATACAGGAACATAGCTTTAGACAGGAACATACGTTTAGCGTTGTAATTGATGTCTCCTTTGAGATGCTTACAAACTCCTGTATCGCCCATGATCAAACTAGTGCCAAAAATGTCACACATGCAAATTGGCCTGCACTAGTTTCGAGTTTTCTTATCTACTTGGAGAAACTAGAAGCTTGAACTAGACTGTGACATTGTGATGAAATTTCAGCAGGCCAGATGTTGCAAAATTTAATCTGTGGGATCTTATGTCGTTAGCGTACTGTTTAGCTCTGTCAGCTCTGTCCGATATCCGTTTTCAAATGACAGTGATGTCATGAGACGAGCCAGGTGACTGGGAGCGGTCAGGTGACTGGGAGCGGTCAGGTGACTGGGAGCGGTCATATGCTGTGAACTCCTGCCGTTGTCCTCTTTGTGCCTGGCTGTGTGGAAGAAGGTAGGGCCGGTGCCGTTGAAATGGCTTCCGTGCCCTCTTTAGAAGTGGAACACAGTTGGACGTAGAAGGTACATGACTGCTTGCCTGCTGAGGAGCTGTAGTGGTGTAGCCATGTAGTCGGCCGGGTGCCTGGATTTCATGTACCGTGGTCCAGTTTGATGGTGATGGTTGTTTCAGCTGTGGAGGCTGATAACAATCAAATTCTTCCTTGACATCTTCCTCGCTTTGCTCATACAGATTCCACGACAGCTGGGCATCATGTTGATATGGTTGGTGTCGGGGCGGTGTGTTGGCTGTGATTCTAGCATCATATGCCGGCTGATTCCAGCCAACGTAGGGGTGCTTGTCCGCACTTCTGTTATGTGCTATGGGAACGGCAAAGGTTGGAGCATTGGATCCCCTGCTGGAAAGACCTTCCGGTGGATTCTTGGACTCGGTGCGTTCCCACTGTGCTTGGTCCACAGCGGCGTTGCTAACGGCAGCTAATTGTGATATTGAGGCTGACGCCTTGCTATTGTGATAGTCTGGTTCCATAGTGGTGGTTGTGTTACGCCGTGCCATGTAGTCATGCCGTGAGGATGTGGATTGGCTATCCGAAGATGACCGGGACGATATCAATGGCTCTAGAGCAGGAAGATTAGGCATGTTCTCAATAGTGTCTGGTTGAAGAGGTCCTTGAGCTATCAGCCTTGGCTCAGGGTGCACTCCACCGCTGCTAGGTGTGATTGCAACTGTCTTGGGCGGCGGAATATGACCAGCCATGGTGTTAGCCCTCTCCCTGGTCAGCTTTGCTAGCACTTGTGGACTGGAAGCTGCTCCTGAGGTACTTGCACTGACTGGAGTAGCAGCCAGGTTGCGCTCAGCAGGCAGGACTGCAACGGATGCAGTCATGGGTATGTGGCCCAATGGGACTGCCATCAGCATGGCGGCTGGCCGAAGAAGTGGCGTAGTTGTTTGAACGGCACTAGCACTGGTAGGTTCTGGATGCAGCAAAGCGGTGGGTCTGTTCATCACCACAGTACGGGCTACTGGGCCCTGCATGCTGCCCCGCGTGGCTGGCATGGATAAGTGCAGTATCGGCTGCGGTACAGCTACATCAGCCGGCCTGGGTGGCGGTGGTGGATTGAAGACACTGACTGAAGCAAACTGAGGACTGTGCACCGGGACTGCAGCAGTCACTATAGATGCTGTAGCTAGCGGCAAGTTCAGACGGCGGCCAGGAGTGTCGGATGGCTGGTTCACAGGCAATGCAGGGAGTGATCTTGTGAGCTCACCGGCGTGTGCTGGTTGGGGTATGGGATGCTGATACACCATGGGACTGGGGCCAATTGCAGGCCTGTAGCCACAAACAACAGGAATAGCAGCACGCCAGATAGCCTCATTTGACACATGTTACCAGAGTATTCAACCCAAAAAAATTAGCTGCAAGAGAATCCAGGTTCAACGGTCCCCTGAAGGAATCGTGCCACGTCTTAACGAGTACCTCCCAAAGAGCAAATCATGAAGAAATCATGAAGACTCCTTGGGTGTTATTGACAAATTGCCTTTCTGATTGAGAGCTTGCTCAGCTGTGACACCTTGCTAGTGACTCAGTGTAGAAGGCATTGAACTTTCCAATACAGAAAACAGTGTATACGGTAGAGCGAGCATAATAAGCTGACCTTAGGTCCGGGACTCTGGGCGCCGCTCCACTTCTCATCTCAAACAGAGCCTGCTGTAAGTCTAGTCTGGTCCGGCACAGCCAGTACTGCTCAGCAGCCAACTGACCTTGGTTCTTGATCAACTCCTGCAACACAGTGACCAGCAACAGACACAAATTGACAACTTGACATCACAATTCTCTTCCTGTTCAGTGATTCCTTCAAAAGAACTCATGCTGGAGTGTGACGGCCCGGAGTACCAACTTTTATAGACAGCATGGTCAGCCTAGAAGGTGCAACACTTCCACTTTCTGAGAATCTCAAAATCACAGAGGCCGCCGTGCATCAACGGGTTACGCGTCTAAACTACAGTTAGCACTGTACCTGTATTAACTGACTTGATTCTTCCAGTACACATTGCTGAGAGATATTTCGAGCTAGGTTCAGTGTTTCGCGCAACTTCACCTCCGCCTCTTTCTGCACAGCACGCCTGGAAGACACATACACGACATCAATGGAAAATGCATAAGCGGCCAGATGATGACAGTGATGGGATGAAAATGCCCGTGTGAGTGGTGATGTTGTAAAAAAAATTTGTAATAGTGTATTGGAAAGATGTGCCAGCTACGATGCTAGTGGAGTAGTTTACTGGACTGGACTGATGAATTGATCGTTACTTGTCAGTTGTAATATTCAAGCTGTATTATACTGTGCACACACAAAGCTCCACAGTGGAGCGTAAAGGAGACAATCACATGAAAGGCACCAAGGATGATTCACGCAGAACAGCAAAACAACTTGATCTTGTCTGCTGACAGCATAACAACTTGATCTTGTCTGCTGAATGCAGACAAAGTGGCTAGCCTACTTGCCAACCCCTGGCAAGCAGTTTCCTTGACACTGATGACGTTTTTCCTTGATTTTGCCCATTTTTCCTTGATCTACAATAATTTTTACATCATGATTGTGCAAAATATGTACAGTATGACCAAAACTTGCTTTTTCGCTCGTGTAGCTTCCAGTTAGGTATACAGAAACTACCTATATTGTAGTGCATGCATTATGTTTTTGTTGAAGGTTTGACGCATTTCTTTGATGATGACTTCTTCAAATATCAGTGTCCCATCGAACGTTCGTGGGCGGGCTGCACAAAGGGTAAGAAACAGTCTGTTTAATCAATCTCAGTCTTCTTAACTCTTCTTGTAGGCACAGGCATGCTTGAAAGCAGTTTTCCATGTTGCTCATTACTTTCAGGAAGAGAGATGTGATCCTTTCCCCTCTTCCTTTCTCTTTCTCTCATTGCCTTGGCATTCCCAACCAAATCAAAACGCTAGTCTCACTACGAAGCGGCTCTCACTGTTTTCTCTCCAACCAGCACCAACCAGGGCTGTTCCACCTAATGTCTCATGAGGGAAGTTGATCAGAACTTGGTTTTGACTGAAAATCATATTTGCTGCATCCATGTTGCCCTTGTACAAGATCACAAGTTTCAGTACAGCTTGAAAATCGTCCCATGCCCCATACCATGCAGTCAAAACGCCAACATGAACGGATATAGCCAGGGGTAAGCATGCTGCAAAGAGTTGTTGTCAGGGAAAATCCCAAATGTGGGTACAATGCACTATGGCCTTCTACGCCATTCCCTGTGAAGCTTGCTTGTCACCTCTTTAGTACAATACGTTGTACACCGGCGTGGAATGGAACGCTACATCAGTCTATCATTGAACTGCAACTGCCTGGAAAAATCCACATCTGACATGGCTACAGACTCGGAAAGAGTTGCTGCTTGGACCATTTCTAACTGAAGCGTTTGTATTGCCACTATTATAGGAAATTGAAGTATCATTCTGGGCATGAGAAGCAAACAGAAGCATGGTGTGTACATCACCGGGGCCGGTTGCCGCAAAGCCAGGCCAATCCAACGATGCACCCTCTAGTATTCGGGAGAGGGCTTGGCTTGGATAAGCCGATCTCTGTGACCCTGTAAAGCAATGGTGCTGGACGCATTGGGTGTTCACAACTGCTGATACCCACTGTGTGAATACCTGAATTACTACTTTGCCGGCTCAGCAGTTGCTGCTAGGAAACCTTGAGGGATTGTGCAATGGTGGGTGGCTGGTCCTGAAAGGATAAGTAGCGGATACAGGATAGGACAGATCCTACCTAATTGGGTGACTGGCGATCATTATGGCTTGACACTGGATGCCATTCACAATCTGCCCTACGGTGACTGAAGCAACACAAATAACCACTGACTGCTTGTAGTGCACCTGACATGCACTGACATGTGGCAGCTGTCTACAAAACACAACTCATTCATCTCTACTGATGCCCCAGGTGCAGCCCCTTTGTCTGAGATACTGTAGAAGCAATTGTCTCAACTGGTTTCGTTCAACTTTTTGGATATTCGCGATGTAGCAGTCAACTAAAATTCATCCAGGATCCTATAGTAAACTACAACATCAGTGCTGTACACAATACCAGTCTGCGTGTGTGTGTGTGTGTGTGTGTGTGTGTGTGTATGTGTGTGTGGGGGGGGGGGGGGGCGATTATGGTCACACACGTCTTTCTTCTCTTTCTCAGACTCCTCCTGACTTTTCTTTCATTCTCCTGGGTGGTTACCAACAACCAGTACATACCGGAGGATGTGGTGTGAAATGTGTGCGGGAAAAAAAGAAACAAGACCAAAAAGTAGGGATTCACTGGCCAGAAAAAGTCACTTCATAGCTGTGTGGTGTAGACCAGGCTGAATAGTGGCGGTCAATTCTTCAGCCTTGCAAGCTGTTGAATGGTGCAATCCCAGCACAAGTTGCTATGGCTTCTGCTGTAGCATCGCTATCATCGCCTCCGGCGATGGGCGTCAAATGGTCAAATGGTGTGTGTGTGTGTGTGTGTGTTTGTGTGCACAGTTCATTTACTCACGCATGTCTTACTACTGCATGCAATAGCAATGCTGGGACACATTATGTTTACTAGTACCTGGTTGCAGAGCAGATCTGCACCTGACAACATGAACAGGACTGGCACTCACGTGACACAGTCACATCACGCCATGTAGGGGTGGCCGGTTGGTTGCACTGTACAAGACACCATGCTGGGTTGCACTAGATCTGAAAGATATTTCCCATATTTCAAATACTAGTAAATCCATAGGTAAATCCACTGTCGGCTTTCATCAGTCTTGGCATACGCAAGTAGTCATACTAGTGCCGCTAGTAGCTTCAGTGAGTCGAATGGAATAGGCACAAAGAGGTGTCCAGTGCGGCTGGCTACTGTGCTAACGATTGATTTCATTTGAACACGGCATGCAATTCCCCGGCGCCGAGGGCTAACATCAGCCGGACCGCAGGTGGAACTGGTTTTCCTTACCTGGCTATTCCACGAAGTACAGCGCAATTGCTCTTAGAAAAACGCAAATACAGCAGCAGAGACTCGCCAACGAGTACACTGCTAGGTCATTCTATGGCTTAAACCGCCACAAAACCCTTTGACGGGTGCATCACAATTCCTCCTCATGATCTAAAACCTTCCATTTGCCAAGTTTTGGCTAGTAACATACAAACGAAATACGAGTAAAATAATTACTGGCAGTTGCACGGCTCAATAACAATAATAATGGCTGAGGGTCGAATTTTCATACCTTCTTCTCCCCGCCGACATCGCCCGTCTTTCACACTCAAGCACCACGCCATCAACAGGATCTTGAGCGGTTTCTCCTCAGGCTTCCCCCCGTTTGGCTGGACTGGCTGCATTAGCGTGGCAACCCACGAACCACTGCAGAACTCTTACGCCATTGCTAATCAAGCCTCTAACCAAGCTGAAAGTAATATCCGCCACCGAGGACGAGGTCGAGGGTCGATGGCAAGTCGACCGGGTTCCATATTTTGGGGGCCAGGTCGCCACGGGTCCTTCCAGCAGCCGGCCCAATCCCGTAGATCTGCAGATTTATTTACATAGCCAACGCATACGCTAGCTGGGACAATCTCCACAGACGTCATAGTCTTCATGCGGGGCAGATAAAGTAACTCTACCCAAGACATGGCTAGATATCCACTGACGAATTATTTGACTCTTCTCAACCACGTAGATCTACGTGCAGATTTACTCCCCCGGGCCCTGAAGAACATCAACAGTGTTGCCCCACCAACGTACCTAACCTTACTTGTACTGCCCCAGCCCTGTACAGGCTGTAGATCGACGTGCAACCATCGTGACTTGCGAGACATTACACCGAGATATCGTTCTCATTTGTCCTTTACCTTCTATGTTAGTTTCTCGCGACTCCGACTCCGAGTTGAGCTCAAATCGAATGCTCATTCGTTGTCTGGGTTCGAGGATTCGGTAAAGCTACCAAGGAAAGCCTCGGCCAAACACTGTCTGTAGATCTACATGCGAGTTGATGTCTCCTCATCCGTCCCGTGCCCCAAGTGAAATGTGTCTCTTGGACTATCTCGTTTCATCCCAAAGACATTTTTTGAAGTCTTTGCTTCACCCAAGAGTGAAGGAAGCTGAATTATAATTATAATAATTATGGTCTGAACTCTGAAGTCTGACACGTGGAGGTCAGTTTTGTATTGCATGATCACCCGCCATTGGTTAGGAGAACTGAAGCCATCAACTCTATACTCTTTCGGGCCCGCCTCCACGAAAGCCTAAAAGAGTGCTTTCTAAAGTCACTCCCCAGAGTTGTGTCATACATGAACTCAACCTCTCTTACGGGAGGTAGTCACTAAGCTGTAGCTACTGGCATGAGGCTTTGTCCCAATGGGGCCATCCATCCTTGATGCCTTGGTCAGGCCATGACCCCATATCCAATAGTCGGGCAAGTATGGCAGGCTTCAACAGCACTGCACTAAAACTCGCTGCCCCTATTTCCCTGAGTGTCTTGTCCGGCGTCTGTTCTTGTCCTGCCTTGCTGGCATCATTCGTCAGTAGTCGCTGCTCCTCTTTTGTCTAGACTTGTGTGTCTGTGACCAATAAAAAATAGATGAAAAAAATGATGAGGCAACTGAATTCGAGGCCCGAAGTTGAGAAATCTTCGTTGCTGTCTCGAAGTTGAGAAATCTTCGTTGCTGTCCCGAAGTTAGTGGTATAGAAGCAGCAGAAGCTGTATATAATTGGACGAACACAACTTTTTTTTATGCACACACATTAATTTCTCTTCTCGAAGGTGACTCTGTGGTGTCTCAGACGTCCATTGTGATCGTGATGTTGTTTCACATCACCCATCTGTATGTCTACCTGTAGTTGTAGCTGAGCGTCTTGAGGTGTCCACTACCAGTAATAATGTGGTTGTCGGCCCCTGGCGTCACCGCATTCTCTGCCTCCGTGAGGTGCTCAGGTCCCTGGAATACCACAGCACATGTGACTAGCACTGGATCTCTAGGATAAGTCAAAGATCTGGGAGAACTCCTCGATCTTACCAATTCAGTAACCCAATTGCGATAGAATGCGATTGCAAAGAACGACACATGTTCTACAGCGAAATGGTATTGGCACTTCCACGTTGTTGCTGACAAGAATTTAGATGGTGAAGTGTTTCGGCTTGGGTGATGTGAAACTTTCTTCGTGGCCGTGATGGCTGATGGCATGAATTAAAATAAATCATGCTAGCAAGCGAGGTACCGGTATCTGAACACGCTGGGTGGCGTGTAATATCTCTCACGCGTCACGGCCTCCGGAGTCCAGACAGACGTACCTGTATTTTGCTCTCACTATAGTTTGGTAGCCTGGAGTGGTCAGAATTGCAGCTCTCACCATTATAAGTTGTGCCTACTATGTGCTATGCATGTACTGATTACGAGTTGCAAAACGAACTGCTGACTATTCACGGTTCAAGTCAGATCACCAAAAACAAGAACATTCCTTCATGTTCTTGGTCTTCATCAAGCAATGCAGAACAAAAGACATCAACCTGCTTCAGAAATGAACAACTAACTGTTACTTGTGGATGGGGGTGCATTTCATTAGTTTTCCTTGGCGGTAGGTTCTTTGTCATCCAGTGTAACGTTAGTTCGCTCTGTTCTGCACCAGCGGTAGAGTCATTACACCCCCCCCCCCCCCCCCCCGGAGTTATGTACTCTCGTCTACACCCACTACCAAAAGAGGTAATCCCCACTGACAACTAAAGACAACCCGCTCCGCCATTGTCACCAGCTGTAATCCGCCAAATCCTCCGGTTGTCTGCTGCTGCTGCTGTGAGGTGGCGGAACTCCCTACAAGCTTGCAGCTTGCCGTGGCCACCCTCAGGTACAATCCATCGACGAACTTCTCTCGGACAAGAGTCTGAAGAGGTAACAAAGCCTGGTGGTATCATTCTCCCCGGCAAGTGTAGGCCAGGAAAGGCCAACAGCAAAATAGCTTACGGTGGGTGGAGAGTTGTCGAACAGGCATGGACACACACACACACACACACACACACACACACACACAACCTACGGCACCTGATCTCCAGGGATATGTCCTTGACGAACCTCAAAATTTAGCGGCGGATAACGATCTGGCCTTATTGCCAAGGCTGGCTCGCTCCCGCGGGATCTGCCTTTGACAAGACATGAAAAGGCTGGGAAAAGAATCCAATACAGGGTAGGATAGTGTCATGGCCACCAGAACCTGCCGCAGTGCTGGCTGGCATGAGCATTATTAAATCTTCGAAAACAAAATACACGCCTTCTCGCTGCTCGTCCCGGTTCGTCTTGAAAAAGACATTCCAGCTAGTAGTAATCGAGAGCTACATGTACATATGTCGAAGTAGCGACTGTGCCAAAAGACACTTCACCCAGTTCAAAGACCCTCTTCTAAAAAAAAAAGCTTTTGCTGTTGGGAACAGGAAACGTGCGATCATCAGCAAGGGTTCCTGTAATCCGTCAAGAGCTAGCTGTACCGTGTGGCCTGTCGACTGCCGCATCACCCCATGCGAACACTGGCAACTTCTCAGTTCAGGGCTAATTTCCTTTCCAACTATAATAATTGTCCGCCCTTCTTTACCTCCAAAATCCCCCTGCTGTTTTGGAGTGTTTAAATACTGGTGCGGGTGAGCAGTGGTTGTCGCTATTGCAGCCACAGTCACTGCATATGCTCACCTTGATCTCTCGCTTATTTTATGCTGTTCTTGCCGCTCATCCTTGTCCTGTCGTGACTGGCTGTCTGGTGAAGACAATGAAAATGATGGATCGGCACGCATAATTTCTGCGCACACCTTGGAGCAGGGCGCCTTTCTAGTGCACACCTTTCTTCCACCTTGGGCACATGGAGAGCGGAACATATCACAAATTAGCACACTACATGTGGGTAAGATAAGCCGCAAATAAGTTGGCATAAGCGTCCGTATACATCATGTGTGCAGTAAGAAGACATTTGACTCACTTACAAATTCCTGTCCACGGCCTTGATGCAGATCTCTATTCCTGCTTTGGTGCTTGCCGGCGATGCGAAGTTGAGTTCTTGCGTGGAAGTGCCGAAGTAGTGCATGTCGGTAATGCATGTTGGTAATGGTCGTCTCCCCTGCTGCTACTGCTGCTGCTGCTGCATCCCTGGCTTGAATTAGCAGAATGATACTGATGTACGGATAGGTGGGTCAAGCTCCCGTTGTCACACTGCGGCTGCAAGTCCACTCACACATCGCTATGCCTCCAGTACTATGCCCGTCGTCCTGTATGGGCATAGGCATGGTGTCTGCGATGTTACTTGATCAGCCGGCCATAATATTATTATCATACGAAGTCAGACTATACTTGCCTTTCTCTGAGCTCGCACACTACTAATTGCTCTACTGCTCTCAGGTACTTACTTACGCCAGCCAATGCCAGCCATCCACTGTACTTACTTACGCCAGCCATCCACTGTTAGAGCTGTGACAGTGTGAGTTGAGGTGGTGCGACCTGGGCTGGGGATTGACATTACTTTGACATGATGCCACGTGCTAGTTGACGGGTGACAGTCAACGGTTCTGGAGCCATGGAGTCACTTGCTTCTGTGCACCTGAGCCTGTTACGCTGTACACTAGCAGCCATAGCCAGACAAGCCACGTCGTAGTACTACCACTAGTACTAGTAGACTCCTGGCCAAGACCGGCAGGTATTCAATGGTGTCCGGAACAACCAGGGTAGTGCAGCTCCGAGGTAATCTGCCCTGCCCTGCTTTGCTTGCAACCCTGCCGCTGATGGTGATCCGATATCCAAAACTCGTATCAATGTCTTCAGACCTAGCCTGTGATTAGATCCGGTCATTCCGCAATGTCCTCGCAGGCAGTGACGATTGAATTGTCAAATATAATGAGGTCTCTCTTCGACAAGATCGCTCGCTCAGTCACCTAACACTTGGTCGCCTTCTCTGTCTCCAACACCCACCTGAAAACCCCGTGTCTCGAAGCAGCATGATATGCTGCGTACCACATTGTCACTACCGCTACTTGTAGTGATTACTCGCTTAGTACGTCGATTGTGATGCAGTCGCACCCGCCAGACCTGGTGACTGATTTTTTTTCTCTGGTGACTGATTCTGTTGGCCGTAGAAAAGGATTCTCTGGCCAAATGAAGGAATTCCACAGTCGGATAGGGATCAAATGCTAATTGCCTCCGTGATAGGTCCAAGCAGTGTAGGCGAACAACCGCTTGTCTACACCTGCGAAAAGGTCGCGACCTCCAGCGACTCAAGAAGCCGGAAAACTCTGGAATCCCGGAAAACGTCAAATCGCCTGCAACCGCAACACCCAAAATGGAGTGCGAGCGGTGGGTATTTTAGACAGATTGACATGCTAGATCAAGGAGAGTACGTGCCAACTCCAGACAACACGCGGCCAAGCTGACATGCCATGTGCACTATGCATGCACACAGCACTACAGTCTACAGACTTTACAGAGTCCGCACATTGTAGGTCAACGTAATGCACAATGTACTATCGCCACCCAAAAATCCGGCCAATTCTCTGCACATGGTAGTCCACTACCATGTGCAGCACTGGCACTGGCCGGATTTTTCTGGCAATTATAGTACACTCAGCTACATTGTATATCAGGTCATTCCATCCACGATGAGAACGGATGAGATTGAGATGATGAGGCGGTTTATGCAGCTCAGGGACCTGTGATCATCGCGGCTGCGCTTGCCGCTTGGCGCCCAGACTGCAAGAGGTGAAGATGAACTACATGTAAAAGCATCAATCCCGGAGGAACGCACATTCCTCACCATTGCAGCACGTAATTAGCCATCGACAGCATAATAATCATCATGTGACGCTCGGAGCAGCTAATCTAGCACTAGTGCATACAAATGGATAATCAATTGTTCACATTGGTTTGTTTCTGTTGTGCATGCTTGACCAGTACAATTAGCCATACAGACAACCCATCACCACCATCACCACCATAAATCTTGCAGGAACATCTCCACAGCAAACGGCAAGAGCAAGCGCTGTGTCATTAATTTTGTTTTCGAGTTATCATTCAGGTGAGCTTCGTATGCCCTGGATCATGGCCTGCATGCCTTGGCTTTTAGCTAAGAAGACCACATTATCATTTGGTCCATGTGACTAGCTTCTAAGCGTCACCATGCATTAGCGCCAGATGCAAACATGAACAAATTACACAATGTGTAATTTGTTTTGTATGCTCAGTGTGAAGACAGATTGAGACAAGCATGTTGCTACGTGCTTCAAAATAATTCTTAGACTTGTTTACAATTCAACTCACAAGCTTGCTCCCTCTCCAGAGCGTTTCCACTCTGTAAACAACGTTCTTACTTGGCAGCGGAGACCCCTCCCCCTCCCCTCCTCCATGTGGGTTCATGGGCGTGAGCAACAAGACATTGTGTTGACACAAGACATCCCAGTGACATTTTTTTAAACATATGCACCGGTACATGTATTCCGCGTCTCTGATGGCACACCCGGAGGAGAGGTGATGGAGAGAGAAAATCAATCAAGCGCTGAACGTCAAAGGTACATGCACCGATACCTACAAAACAGGAAGGAATGTCTGGCGAATAATAACATTAAAAAAACCCAGCTAGAGAAGAAGATTTTCAAGTTAAAGATAGTTGTACTGAAGTGTTTTTTTAAACGTGTTGGCTTCAAAAGCAATACCGGTACCTTGAGCGGGGGAAAATGATTTTGAGGATTTTGAAGGTTGGATGTGGCAATGAGCAGCACTGTTAGAATCCCCCCCCCCCCCCCCCCCATCAAACCGCTGAACCTGTCTGTGCAGACCCATCTGCCGGGTCTTGCCGTCGACAAACAGCAATGCTATACATGTACATGTACATGATTATCACTCTCTTGGTAATGAGACTATTGACCATTCCATTGATTTTTGCTGTAGTCAAATATCCACTGGTTGAGGGAATGGAAAATGGAAAAGCCCGAAGAAAAAGGTGACTGTCACCACCAGGACTCAAATATTGACTGCTTATATTTGACTTCTTTTTAGGGATTGAACACATGCTTTGCAATTTGGTTTGTCGTGATAAATCCAATATTGACTCCGTACTGGGTCAATATAGAAAAAAATCTCGTAAAAGACCTCGGCTTTACCTCGGTCTTTTACTCGGCTTTCCTTTCCTATTATATACTGACCTTGTGCTGGCTTGTACTCAGTCAATATTACTATTAGATAGTATACAGATCAACAGATCACGGAAACTCATCCATAAATCTTGCTTGATTCTTCGTGAGAGCTCTGTGCGAACTTTTCGGTGTAAACATTGTGAATTGCAGTGTATTCCAGGTTAGGTTGTTGTTCACGTGACTTTACTAGTACAGTACATGTATTTTATTATTATAGACAACACCTCATGGCATGAAAAGAAAATCAGCCAGTACGGGAGATGTGGGTGTTAACCAACCATGATGAATAAAACTGAAGAGAAGAAAAGTAATGGTCAAGACGGAGAAGCATGGGAGGGACAGGTGATGGTGAATCTAGTGAGCTTTTACTTGGCAATCCCAAACGACCCATACCATGCCTGCTGAAAATGGCGAAGAAGAGAAAAGTTGTTCAGCCGTCGACACCTTCACTTCACTGTACATCATGGTACACGATGCGGCATCGCGTTTATTAGGATCAATGCAGGGTTTTTTCCAGCCGTGCTGCTACCCACAGTCAACTGGGAACTTGTGGCCAGGCACAAGGGGTACATGGGTGCGGTTAATTTTAAAATGGAGTTTGTTGGCACTTGTGCTAGTGGCTGTGAGACTTATCCCCTTACCGGGTGTTAGCGGCCGTCGTGAGTTACTTTCGCGAATGTGAAAGACAGAACTCAGAAGACCAGGCCAGGGAGTGCGACTTCCTGCTACCAAGAGTCCATAACCCCCAGAGTGTGCAACTCCAGGTTGGGGTCTGGCGCAACGAAATCCAAACATTGCGTCATCCGGTCCCCGGGCAAGCATGGGCGGATGGGGCCATGTGCATATCTGGTACATCCGGCGGGGGTTCCAAGTTAGTTGAAGGTTGCTTTGAAGCAAGCCACGGAAGTGTCACGTAAAACTCCGGCGACAATGGGGAGCGCTTTGCTTTAGGTTCAACAGTGGCCATTGTTCTTCTCTTATCGGAGAGACACTCAAAAGAGAAAACTGTTCGACAACTCTAAAATAATTCTTTGTGTACTTGAGCCTTTCCAGGCGTGTTACGTACAATACCTGGCCGTGGATTGTTGTTGTTGTTTGGCTTTATTTAAAGTGGAGTTCCAAAACAGGCCTAAACCTAATGACAATGGTCCCACTGATAATAAGAGAAAAGAAAATATAATAATAAGCGGACAAACAGAACCAAGAAGAAGATACAGCTGTAGTTAGATAACTAATATGAGCACGGCAGCAGGGGAAAAAAGTCACAAGCACGGCAACCGGGAAGAAAGGAGTGAGTGAGTGAGAGAGAGAGAGAGAGAGAGAGAGAGAGAGAGAGAGAGAGAGAGAGAGAGAGAGAGAGAGAGAGAGAGAGAGAGAGAGAGAGAGAGAGAGAGAGGTAGTGAAGCAGATGAGTTCATCCTAGTTGACGGTACTGCCTAACAGAAAGGCCAGGCTTAGCGATTTGAAAGTGGAGCGCTTTCTTTCGAGGCGTGCTGTGTCTGGGAGCTGGTTCCACAGGATAGCTCCAGCATGGCTAATGCGCTTAGCTGAGGATGCAGTGGGGGAGACAGGAATGATGAGTAACTTGCTGTTCCCTCCTCGTGTTCGGAGAGAGGGACTACGGGTGAAAAAGCTTGCAAACAGAGTACTTGAAGATTTGTTCAGGCAGCGCCAAATGAATACAAGGATGTGCATGTGGGTGTATATGCTGAGGGTATGGGCATTCATGCGTTCAAGTAAGGGAGCCGTGTGAGTGCGAGGGGCTGCCCTGCACACCGAGCGAGCCGCACGTTTGAACAAACTATTTAGGCGCTTATCCTGATAAGACGATAAGAAAGGGGCATAGGCAGCAGATGCATAGTCAAATTCTGATAGTATAAAGGACCTGAAAAACTGAACACGGCAAGAAAAAGGCAAACATGCTGCACTTCGATTTAGTAGCCCAATCTTAGCGGCAACGCGGCGTGCAACATGGCTTGTCATGGTGTTCCAGCTCATGTCTGAGTCGAAATGTAGGCCAAGATACTTGGCCGTTTTCACAACAGGCAGCGTCTGCCCATTACAAATGACATGCAGCTCAAGTGCTTGAGATGGGGATGGGGGAATAGGCAATATCTGTGTCTTTCTTTCATTAAGAATTAAACCACGGCCCTTCAGCCAGGTGGCCAGGTGCTGAACAGCAGCTGAAAGGTGTGCAGAAACAGCTTCCGCAGACTCCCTGCTACATCGTATAGAGATGTCATCAGCAAACTGGATTGCTCCCACATTAAACGGTGATAGTTCTTCTGCTATGCCGCGGGCATAGACAATAAATAGCAGTGGGCCCAGTACCGACCCCTGGGGGACACCTGAGTAACTGGTGTACGGGAGACTTCTAGTCTGGCCAACCTGAACGTACTGTTCTCTATCAGAGAGGTAATCCACCAGCCAACAGAGTGCCGTGTCGCAGATGCCAAGTTCGAACAGATCTTGCACAAGAGTTTGATGTTTCACTTTATCGAATGCCTTTGACATATCAACAAAGGCTACACCTGTGTTGAGTCTGTTCATGCGGGCCTCACAGATACCTTCCACAGCTAGCACTAGTGCGTCGGATGTAGAGTGGTGGGATCTGTAGATTCGTAAAGAAAGACCCCAAATTGGGCAAACGGGCGAAGTAGGTCCGGGCCAAACTTCCCATTTCGTCATAGCTACTCACTACATGACGTATGAAGTTTGGATTTCGTTGCGGCACTGATTTGTGCTGAGAAGGATCACGAGTTGCACACTCTGGGGGGTTATGGACTCTTGCTGCTACTGACTGCAGAGCCAGATTATGTACATCCTACATGTGCAGTGCTGGCAATTCCGGTCCGATTTTTATACGTGTGTTTTCG